GTCCGAGGATTAGCGAGAGCAGGGGCTGGGCAGGAGTGGGGAGGATTTGCAGGATCAGGGGGTGGGGGAGGGGGAGGGAGTAGGGCTAGCTGAAATGTTTCCATCCTTGGCAACCCCGCCCTCGTGATAGCGCAAGGGTGGCACACTCGTCGTGCTGCAGCGTCGCCGTCCTGAAAATATATTGTCACATTGTTACACATCCACACTAGTTCATCGCTTGTGTCATGCCGTCTGTCTGTCAAGGCTCTACATTAATACTGTCATACGGTTTCTCTATCTAACTGCCGCACTATCTTGCTGTGCTACTCCCACAATTATAATGTAACGCTGCTACATTGATCACTTCTGTACGACTGCTGCTGCTGCTACTACTGCTACTTCTGCTGCTACTACTTTTACTGCTGCTATTACTGCTACTACTGCTACTTATACTACTGCTACTGCTACTACTGCTGCTGCTACTGCTGCTACTACTGCTATTGCTACTACTACTGCTGCTACTACTGCTGCTGCTACTGTTGCTACTGCTGCTATTGCTACTATTGCTGCTATTGCTGCTACTACTGCTGCTACTTCTACTACTACTACTGCTTCTGCTGTTTTGCTGCTACTGCTGTTACTGCTGCTGCTGCTACTGCTGCTGCTACTACTGCTACTTCTGCTACTATTGCTACTGCTGCTACTACTGCTACTGCTACTACTGCTGCTACTGTTGCTACTACTGCTGCTACTTCTACTACTACTACTACTACTACTACTACTGCTACTGCTGTTTTGCTGCTACTGCTACTTCTGCTACTACTGTTACTGCTGCTATTACTGCTACTTCTGCAACTACTACTACTGCTGCTACTACTGCTGCTGCTACTACTGCTACTACTACTGCTACTACTGCTACTACTGCTATTGCTGCTACTACTGCTGCTGCTACTACTATTGCTGCTACTACTGCTGTTACTTCTGCTACTGCTGCTACTACTGCTACTACTGTTGCTACTGCTACTACTACAACAACAACTACTACTACTACTACTACTACTACTACTACTACTACTACTACTACTACTACTACTACTACTACTACTACTACTACTACTACTGTTGCTACTGCTGCTGCTGCTGCTACTACTACTACTACTACTACTACTACTACTACTACTACTACTACTACTACTACTACTACTACTACTACTACTACTACTACTACTACTGTTGCTACTGCTACTACAACTACTATTGCTACTACTACTATTATTACAACTACTACTTCAGCACACACACACGCACGCTCGCACGCACGCAAGCACGCACGCACGCAGACACACACACACACACACACACACACACACACACACACACACACACACACACACACACACACACACACACACACACACACACACACACACTCACTCACTCACTCACACACTCATCCACACACAGTATCGGGGCGCGGCCATAGCGTGATATTGACTGCCGCAGCAACCAAGTAGTCCTTGCACTGCAGAGTCTGCCTGTGAACGGTAGGAGAAGGAAGAGAGAGGAGAAAAAAATACGTTCTTCATTAGGTTGTTTTGTACGTTTCGGCCTCTCCCGCCTCGGTCTTTGAGCAACGGGCAGGGAGTTGGGGAATTTATTTATAGAGTTTGCCACTTGATCGCTGATTGTCAGCTACTGGATGGCTATGCGTGCGTGTGCATGTATATGTGTGTGAATCTTTCTATCTCTCTCCCTCTCTCATAACATACCTTCACACAGGATATTGTGGAGGTAGAACGGAATCCACGCTATAAAATAGACCTTATTTCTGGTTTCCTATGTTGTCTCCTATATAGGCCTATTGTTTTAACTCTATGTCAACTAAATAACGATATAGCATTGCCCTTGTGGCCCAATTTTTGTGCCAATTTGTCTGTATCCAGGTTCGAAGGGCGAACGAGCAAATGCCATTCGCTTGAGTTGCAAGGCAAGCGTTGCAGATTGAAATACTCAGGTGTTACTGACGAGATCGCAACCGTGACTCTGCTTCTTTATTCTCTTTCTTCAACATTTAGTTAGTCTTTTTTTCTGAAAACAGAAATATATGACTGAAAAAAGTAATAATCATTGCTATCCATTTTTCGTATATTATAACTTTTCGTCTTTCGATTTATATATGTGCAGATTTTTGTTATTTTTATGTTTACGTTGGTTATACTATATTTATGTTTCTGTTCTGTTGGTGTTAATTGAAAGAATGGAAAGCAGAAGATAACGCAGAATGCATATTACAGAGATCCCGTTTCACTTACATAGTTATCTACTTATAACGATAAACAAACTCATTGATACTGCAGTGTTTGTTTTTAAAATACGCACATCATCGCCTAGCGTGTCGCAGTATGCTAGAACCTGATCCCAAAAGAACCATTGTTCTACACCTCTGCAGATGCACCAGTAAAGTAATTCACACCAGTTCCTACAAGCAATCTAAATTTTACACAAGCACCTCAGTCACTGC